TGAGATTGCTGGATCATATGGCAACACTATTTTTATTTTATTAACAAACCCCCATACTATTTTCTATAGTGACTGCATCAATTAACATTCCCACCAACAGTGTAGGAGGGCTCCCTTTTCTCCACACCTTCTCCAGCATCTGCTATTTGTAGACTTTTTAATGATGGCCATTCTAACTGGTGTGAGGTGACACCCCATTGTAGTTCTGATTTGCATTTTTCTAATAATTAGTGAAGTTGAGCATCTTTTCGTGTGCCCATGTCTTCGTGTGTATGTCTTCATTGGAGAGATGTCTATTTAGGTATTCTGCCCATTTTTTGATTGGGTCGTTTGTTTCTTTGTTATTGAATTGTATGAGCTGTTTATATATTTTAGAAATTAATCCCTTGTTCGTCACATCATTTGCAAATATTTTCTCCCAATCTGCAAGCTGTCTTTTCATTTTGTTTATAGTTTCCTTTGCTGTTGAAAAGCTTGTAAGTTTGATTAGGTCCCATTTGTTTATTTTTACTTTCATTTCTATTGCCTTGGGAGAGTGACCTAAAAATAGTTGCTACAATTTATGTCAGACACTGAAGAAGAACATAATTATTGAACTTAGCATTATAACAGTTTGCACTGCTAAGGAATTAAATATGTATTGATTTTGTTAGTGTAAAAGTTCAGATGCATATTTCACAAATGAGAAAGAGCTTAAAGTTTATCCCTTTAAGAACAAGTTATTATTTGACGGCACTGTAATGTTAAAAATTTACTGGAGTGATATTCTTGCCTATGACTTTACAAATTGTGATTTACACTTTCAATGTTGGAATATGTCACAGAAAACAGTCAACCCAATCACCTTTCCAATTTATATGCCCTTCTTCTTTCTCTTATCCATTACAAAATGTTTGTTTTCCCAGAATCAACACATTCCAAAAACTCTCAATGGGAAATAAGTTACATAGAAGGGAATTAATTAGCCATAGCATAAAGCAGTGGAGATTGCATCCCTAGATATTGTAATTTTCCTGAAGCCCATCAACCAGGTCTGTGACTACATGCATGCTTGTGTGTGTGTTCGTGTGTGTGGTCTGTGTATGCATTTGTGTGAGTGCAAAGGAGAGAGAGAGTGAGAAAAATTTGTTTACCTGAAGGGAAAATAAAATATAAATTAGGCACTTCATTTAATGCATTATTACATTTCTTACTGATTCTCTTCTTCCATTAGGATCCAAACTCCATGAAGGGAGGACTCAATCTGTTGTGTCACTGCTGTAGGCTCAATGAATAGAACAGAACCTGTCACTCAAAGCCCATAGCTCACATTAGGGATAACTCTTGGTGTGATATGCTTTATGGGCTTTGATAAATGTAATGACATGTGTCTGTAGAGAAGAGTTTCATTGTCCTAAAAATCCTCTGTGCTCTACCTATTTATCCCTCCCTCCTCTCTAGCCCCTGGCAACAACTAGTCATTTTTTTGCTGGCTCTATAGCTTTGCCTTTTCTAGAATGTGTTGTAGCTGGAATCATATAGTATGCAGCCTTTTCAGATTGGCTTCTTTCACTCAGTAATATGCATTTAACTTTCTTCCATGTCTTGTCATGGCTTGATAGCTCAATGAATAATATTCCATTGTCTGAATGGACCACCGTTCATCCATTCACCTACTGAAGTTGCTTTCAAGTTTTGACAATTATGAATAGAGCTATTATAAATATCTGTGTGCAGGTTTCTGCATGGACATAAGCTTTCCACTCATTTGGGTACATATCAAGGAATAAGATTGCTGAATCTTATCATATCTTATTTTTTATAAGAAACTGTCAAACAATCTTCCAAGATGGTTGTACCATTTTGCATCCCCACCAGCACAATATATTTTCTCTGTTGCTCCACATCCTTGCCAGCAATTGATGTTGCCAATGTTTTGGATTTTAATCATTCTAATGTATGTGGAATGGAAACAATTTCATTTTTAAAACATTTGCAATTCTCTAATGATGCTGAGCATCTTTTCATATGCTTATTGGAAAAGTATGAAACATATCACAAATTTATGTGTCATCCTTGCACAGAGGACATGCTAATCTTCTCTATATAATTCCAGTTTGTTATATGTGCTTCCAAAGTGAACACTGTCATTTTTTTTGATTCCCAAGTTGAAGTATGTCATGGTTCAAACAATCATGTAATAATGAGATGAACTGGAGTGTGCCATTGACTGAAGGGTCATGTCTATTTCTATAAAATATAAAAGATATTGGACCTGTGAATGAAGAAAAAGCAAAGGACATCTAGGAATGCACAAGAGAAAAAAACCGGGGGAAGGGAGTGTACTTTCAAACAGAACCACAAACGCACCCCAGTTTCAATATGTGCAGATAAAAACGAAGCAGGTTTTCAGAAGGAAGTAAACAATAATGGGGGCAAAGAAGTGACACAGAAACACTTTATAAGTTTTCTTCCAATATTTTACTTTCATTTTTTCCTTCTGCCTCAAGCCCTGTTTACACAGAATTTAGAAAAACAGTGTGACTGCACACTTATTTTAAAAAGTAATAAAATTGTTTAGGACAGAGATATTATTTTAAACTCATAGTTGGACACCTATATTTTAAGATGTGTGAGATTCCATAGCATCTACTAGACCCCATTTTGGCACTGGAAATAAAAAATGAAACAAAACGAATTTCCTGTCTCAACAGAAGTTATATTTCAGTGGCTGGAGGCAAACAAGAATTAAACAAACAAAAATCCAATATATAAAAGGTAGAGTAATAAAACAGGGTAAGCTGAAAAGGGAACACTGGCGTGGCTCACTGTATTATACAGATTCACTGGGGGAGATTTTTCCTTTAACATCATATCGGAGAAGAGCCCTGAAGCACATGCTGAATTTGGCCATTCCCTGGCCCAAGAACATTTCAGATGAACAAATAACAAATGCAAAGGTCTCAGAGCGGAACTTCCTTGGCATGTTCAAAGAACAGCAAGGAGGCTTGTGTGACTGGAATAATGGTAGAGGAGGCTTACATTTTGAGTGGAGTGTGAAAGAAGAGAAGTAAAAAAGTTGATGTGAGAAATGTAACAGAGAAAACCATATAGGGCTGTATAAGGCTTTGAAGTAACTTAAAAGCTTTCCTGAGAATCAGATATGAAAATGCAACCAACCAGCTTGTCCTAGTTGACACTTACAGTAGCATGCTCCCTGCAAAAGAGCAAAGTGCATTTATAGTCACATGCGCATAAACCATTATCTAGATTGATCATATTCTGGACAGTGAATTAAGTATCATTAATTTAAAAGGGTTTAAATGAATGAATATGGAAACACAACATGTCAGAATATGTGGAATATTACTAAAACAATATTAAGGGAAAATTTAAAACATAGAAAATTTATAATAGAAGTGATAAAGAGACTCAAATCATGTACCTTATCTTTCACCTTAAGAAACTGGAAACAGAAGAGCAAATATAATCTAATGCAAGCAGAAGAAATTATAAAACTCAAAGTGAAAATCGGTGAAATAGAAACCTCCAGTCTACTCAGGCAATAGAAATAAAAGCAAAAATAAACAAATGGGACCTAATCAAACTGATAAGCTTTTTCACAGCAAACAAACCATAAGCAAAACAAAATGACAACCTATGGAATGGGAGAAAATATTTGCAAATGATGAGACTGACAAGGGCTTAATTTTCAGAATATATTGACAGCTCATACAACTTAGTAAGAATAAAGCAAACAACCCAATCCAAAAATGGGCAGAAGACCTAAACAAGCAGTTCTCTCATGAAGACATACAAATGGCCAACAGGCACATGAAAAAACGCTCAGTATTGCTAATTACCTGAGAAATACAAATCAAAACTATAATGAGGGATCACCCCACATCAGTCAGAATGGCCGTTATTCAAAAGTCCACAAACGGTAAATGCTGGAGAGGGTGTGGTGAAAAGGGAACCCTCCTGCACTGTTGGTGGGAATGTAGTTTGGTGCAGCCATTATGGAAAACAGGAATGGAGATTCCTCAGGAAACTAAAAATAGACTTACTATATGATCCAGCAACCCCACTCCTGGGCATACATCTGGAGGGAACTCTAATTCGAAAAGATACATGCACCCCAGTGTTCATAGCAGCACTATTTACAATAGCCAAGACATAAAGCAACCAAATGTCCTTCAACAGAGGACTGGATGAAGTTGTGGTACATTTATACAATGAAATACTAGCCAGTCATAAAAAAGAATAAAATAATGCCACTTGGAACAACATGGATGGATCTGGAGACCATCATTCTAAGTGAAGTAAGCTAGAAAGAGGAAGAAAAATACCATATGATATCATTCATATGTTGAATCCAAAAAAAGAAGACATTAATGAACTACTAATGAACTTATCTATAAAGCACAGACTCACAGACATAGAAAACAAATTTATGATTAATGGGGGGAAAGGAGGTGGGAAGGGATAAATTGGGAGTTTGAGATTCACAAGTATTAACTACTATATATAAAATAGATTAAAAAAACAAATTTTTTCTGTATAGCACAGGGAACTATATTCAATATCTTATAGTAACCTATAATGAAAAAGAATATGAAAATGAATACATATGTATGTATATGTATGATTGAAATATTATGCTGTTCACCAGAAATCAATACATTATAACTGACTATACTTCAATTAAAAATTAATGAAATCACAGAAAAAAGAAACCTCCAAAATGAGAGAAAAATTATAAATAAAAGAGAAAAACCTCTGAGTAAGAAAAAAAGAAGATAATTACCAATATCAGGCTGAGAGAACTGATATCACTACAAAGAAAAGTGAGGAAGTATTAAGAACAACTTATGCCTATAAATTTGACAACTTACATGAAACGGACAAATTGCTTATATGACACAAACTACCAAAATCCTTGCAAGAAGAAATCAATACTCTGAATAGCTCTTTATCTACTAAGGAAATTGAAATTGTAGATAAATCCTTCCCCGGCCCAGAATCTCACTGGTGAAATGCTACCAAATATTTTCAGAAGAGATTAGACCAATTTTATACAAAGTTTTCCAGAAAATTTAAGAGAAGTGAATGCTTCCCAACTCCTTGTATGGGCATTATCTTGAACCAAAACCTAGAAGAAGTAAACTGTGCTTATTATTTTGACATGTACAAAAATACTGAATCACTAGATTGTATAACAGGAAGTAACACAGTGTCGTAGGTCACTTATAATTCAAAGACAAACAAACTCAGAGAAAAAGAGATCGGACTTGAGGTGGGGGGGTTGGGGGAGGAGGAATTACATGAAGGCAGTCAAAAGGTACGAACTTCCAGCTATAAGATAAATAAGTACTAAGGATGTAATGTACAACATGGTAGATACAATTGACGCCGCTGTATGTTATATATGAAAGTTGTTAAGAGCAAATTCTAAGTTCTCATCACAAGGAAAATCTTTTTATTTCTTTAATTTCATGTCTGTATGAGATGATGGGCAGTCACTAAACTCTGTGATAACCACTTCACTATATAGGCAAGGCAAGTCATCATGCTGTACACCTTAAACTAATAGAGTGCTGTACGTCAAGTACATCTCAACAAAACCGGAAGAAAAAGGTAAACTGCAGATCGATGTCCCCCATGAACACAGACACAAATATTCTAAACAAAATATTATAACATCAAATCCATACTGTAAAGATGGTAATTTTCTCAAACTGGTAAATTCAATCCCCTCCCATTGAAATTTCTGGCATGTCATGAGTGTGTGCACATACCTCTGTGTGTGTCTGTAGGCAACATGATCTAAAATATATATAAAATACAAATAAGCAAGAAGAAATAAGGCACAATGCTAGACACTTAGACCAATGGAACAGAATAGAGAAGTAAAGAAACAGATACAGGACTTCCGGGCAAGATGGCGGAGTAGAAGGACACTTGTAAGACACCCTCTCCCACAAATACACCAAGACCCACATCTACAGACCCACTCAGCCAACCAGAGCACCTGCGGAACTCCAACAGATCATCGCCCTCTTCAAAAGATAA